TGCACTGGGGGAGCTTTCCAAGTCCCTTCCACCCCCTGACATTCTGTGATTCTGTGATTCAAGCTACAAAGAGAAGTGATTTTGGAGACGACATCAGCCCACCCCTTACCTCCACTCGATGGCATTCTCAAGTGACTTGAATGTTTTGGGACGACTCCTTAAGAAGTTCTGCATGCTGTTCAACGCATCCATGGCCGTACCTGAAAACAAGGATTTTAACTTTATGGCATCTGGTGAAATGATTGCCACATCCCTCTATAAAGAACTGGCTACCAGGGAACACCCTCAGAGAGATCCGCAGCTCACTGGAGATTTAACACTGTTAAGGAAAGTATGGCTTAGTATTCCTAAACGCGCAGTCACATCTACTCCCACATTAGAGAATTAATATGTGCCCATGCCAACCTCATGGAGTTCAACAAGGCCGAGTGCAAGGTCCTGCCCCTGGGTAGGGGCAATTCCAAGCACAAACCGAGTCTGGGCAGAGAATGGCTCAGAACAGCCCTGAGGAGAAGGACTTGGGGGTATTGATGGATGAGAAGCTGGATCAATGAGAGATCAGAGAAAGGATCAATGCGGAAGGGAGAACCTCATCTGAGGGGACACACACACTCACCTTCCACCACGTCGATCATGCACAGACCCAGTAAGCTTGGCACCAAATTGGCCACTGCCGTGTGCACCGCGATGGCACCCCCCATGCTGTGCCCGATCAGCATGATGGGGGGGGGAAGGTCCCCGTACAGAGCTTCCACCACGTTTCCAACATCTCTGCCAAATTGAGAGAGAAAAGCCCGGTTGGCCTCTCTACCTTGGTACGTTTCTGAAGCAGATTTGTACAGTGGGAGGAGAAAATACAGCTCCAAGATAGGTGTCTGGGCCCAAATCCTCTCTCTATGCTCATTTAACCTACAGGTAATTGAGATAAGTTCATTTTCTTATCACTGCTTCATCTAGGCACCAATATAGGAAATCATTCCAGCCAATACTTGCCTGAACAGGTAATTTCCCTTTTTATGAACAGAAAGCACTCATTTAAAAGAAATCCCTGAGGAGAACCTTTATACATTGGCATTTTCTGGTGGGATTTTTAAATAAAAGGTGAGAAAGCTGTCAGATCTTCTCGCATGGAAGTGTAGACTAAGAGGAGAAAGGTTTAAAAACAAAAGGCAACTTGTTTTTCCCCCATGGGAGCGCTGCTCCAGAGCCAAAAAAAACCCCCATCGTTTCACGGGGCATCGCCGCAGGACAGAAACACGTCAGGATCTGACAAGGCGTGAGCAGTAACAAGAAGATCTACAATGGGAGTCAGAATCCATTTCACACATGGCCTCCCCACAACAAACCAGGCGGAGGTTACCAAATCCTTTGTGGTTTAATTGCAGTCCCAGCAAAGAGCCTCTTTGTCCTCAACGGGGACAGAACGCCACGTGCTCAGCTGTAGGTATTTGCTTTCATTACAGCTTTGTGGAGAGGGGGATTTGCATCCCAAAGCAGGTCGGGATTGGGTCGAAAAAGCAACTCCCTCCCTGCACGCTTGGAAGCCTTGCTCCGTGACCCACGTGTTGGCGATGCCACCAGCCCGAGGTGCTCCCAACGCGTGCTCTTGAGGAGCAGAGGCAGAACCCAGCTGGTGATTTCAAGCTAAAATGGCCCAGTTCATTCTATCTGAGCAAAGCATTCCCCTTCTATTAGGAAATCTCTAGCAAATGTGATAACGTGTTGCAGGTTTAAAGTGTTGGCTGTAATGACCTTTAAAGTGAGTTTAAAAACCAAGGGTGCCCAGAGGATGACTCCAGTTTGGAACCTGACTAAACTGGAAGAGGCAGAATTTCAAATTATGTTTCAAACTGTCCCAAAATGGAAGGAAAAGAAGGGACAACTACCAGAATAATGTGACATGAAACTATCTTCCAGCTCCCTTGAATGAACGTTGGGTGTCCTCAAGCGGTTTATTGCTCAAGCAAGGAAAGAAAATAAAAGGTTTGTGAAAAGGGGAACACTGAGAGAGAGCAAAAGCTTCCTTACTTGGACATTGTCTCTGCAGACAGATCTTCAGGATTCCTAACTTTAGTTTCTCCTGAAAGAGTAAAAAAGGTAAGAGTTCACATCAGCTGAAAACCTCCAGGCCCCTCAGGACCCAGAGCAGCAACCGGGCAAAGCTTTTTGGCAAGAGTGAGCCTGCTGCAGTTAACATCAGTAATTAAGAAACCCAGAGTTAAGAGGAACAGTTACGGGTAGGAAATGCTCTCCATAACTCTTCCATCTTTGCAATGTGTCTTAAAACTAAAGAACAGATCTAATTTCTAATGGTAAAGATCACCTATAGGTTATGGAAATACGAAGGAGGGGGTTGGAAGGAACAAGTCCACCATGGCCTCGCACAAAGGCACAGGGAGTCTCAGCTTCTGGCACGTGAGGAGCTCCAGAAGCCACTTTTCCACCCCTGCTTTTGAACAGAAACTGGGATGCCTTAAGGATGCTTTCTAAGTCATCTTGGGGTGGATTCTTTGAGAAAGAGAGCGTGTAACGCGCTTATGGGATTTTAAATGTATTTACTTTACTTACCATGGCCTCGGAGATCCAAAGCCACAATCCTACACTGGATCCTGTTAATGATTGCAGACTGCAAGAGGGGACAGAGATGAGACAACTCGCAAAATTACACAAGGATTAGCAACATTTCATCAACATCAGCCACGTTAAGCACTCCCTGGAACAGCAGCAAGGGCTCGAACGGTGCCACAAAAACCTTCCGCTGTCAGCACAGCAGCTGAAACCTGCACCGCCCAGAAAGCCAGCAAGAATATTCTGTATGAACCATCCTTAATTAACCAAAGCTCCGTCCTTGCGGCCAATGTTAATTTGCAGCACGCAGTCAATTTGCTCTCAAAAAAGCAGAATTTTACAGGATTTTACATTCAAGAATCGATTCTTCCAAAGGGGCTGGGGTGGGGGGGAAGCGATGATTTTTTTTTGGAAGCCAGGTAGGGCTGCAATACAATCCTGGCTCTGTTTGTCCCTCACAGCTCCATTTTCTTACGTTATTTTGGGCGCTGCAGTGATTAAGTGGAAAGAAAGACTTATTTTGTGTTAAGGAATGGCTGATTATTTAAGTAACAGCCCTGCAGGAGCGGGGGAATTTGGTAAGGGATTCTTAATAGAACCACCTACGTCATGGGCAGAGATCTGAAAGCAACCCAGGCCTCATATTTTGGTTGTTCAGCTCTTCAACTCCTAAATGAATGGTCCTAGGGGACTTTACTGTAGCCTTCCAGGACCTGAAGGGGCTACAGGAAAGCTGGGGAGGGACTTCTTACAAGGGCAGGGAGTGAAAGGATGAGGGGAATGGTTTTAAACTGGAAAAGGGGAGATTTAGACCGGATATTAGGAAGAAATTCTCCCCTGAGAGGGTGGTGAGGCCCTGGCCCAGGTTGCCCAGAGAAGCTGTGGGTGCCTCCTCCCCGGCAGTGCCCAAGGCCAGGTTGGATGGGGCTTGGAGCAGCCTGGACTGGTTTTGTGTATCCCTGCTCATGGGGGGTTGGACTGGCGGAGCTTTAAGGTCCCTTCCAACCCAAAACATGGTGTGATTTTATGATTCTATGAACGAGGACCATGATGTGAGAGGATGGGAAGCTTTCCAGTGCTCTGAGGTTTATCCCAACAGGAGCACTTTGGTCAAGAGAAGTACAAACGCATTATCCAGGAGCTTACTGGGTCAAGAAGAAAGGAGCACGCATCTCCTGCAGGCTGTTACTTTATTTAGAGGTGGTTATTCTCAATTTGAGTTTCTTTTTGGGGATGTTTTTTGGGGAGGGAAGGGGTTGCTCGGGGGATTTTTCAAGTTCTGGTTTATCTCAAACATTTAACACTGTGATTGCTTAGGACAAACTTTCATTTCAATTCATGAGAGGATGGACATGAGTCATCAATGTGCATCTGCAGCTCAGAAATCAATCACATCCTGGGCTGCATCACAAGTGTGGCCATGGGGCCAGGGAGGGGATTCTGCCCCTCTGCTCTGCTCTGCTCAGACCCCACCTGCAGGGCTGCGTCCAGCTTTGGGGTACCCAACACAAAAAGGACATGGAAGTGCTGGAGCGGGGCCAGAGGAGGCCACAAAGATGATCCAAGGGCTGGAG